TAACCTGAGCCTCACTATCCTCATAAAAACTCTTTACAGCATTTAACCCTTTGACTGTTTCAGGTCCCTCTCTGAAACTGTCATTCTATGTCGCCAAATATTCAAAAAAAAAAAAAATTATTTTTTCTTATGAAAATGTTAAGATTATTTTTCTGAGTGTTTTAGTCCAAAAAAAAAATTTTTGCCATCGGTACTTACCGAGATATAGAGCCATGAAGTTTGCAGAAAATGAGCCGCGTATGGCAACAGCGGCGACTGCCGCTCACCCGGTAAACTTTAGTTTACTTGTAATTGAAGGTTTTTTGTTTTTTTCACTATTTTATTTTTTCACATAACTTATGTGGCCTATGAGACCAAAGTAAGGTGCAATGTATATATATACACTCGTTGTATACAACACAACAAGCACACAAACATAATTATCAATATATTGTTTACAAAACTTGTTTACAAAAACAAACAAACAATTCTTCTTCTTCTTCCTCTTCCTCTTCCTCCTCTTCCTCTTCCTCCTCCTCTTCCTCCTCCTCTTCCTCCTCCTCTTCCTCCTCCTCCTCCTCCTTGTGTGCGAGTGTGTGGCTTATAATTGTTTTGAGTCAGGAGTCGGCAGCTGTCAAAGTGACATATTGTGTCATTAGTCACTACCCTACCGCCTGTCAAAACAATGGGGTCGGATGCTGCTTCCCCTCCTCCATTCTATCTAATTATCTTTCTCCCTCATTTTATATCTTTCAATCTGTCTCTCTTTCTATCTGTCTGCCTATCTCTGTCTCACAGGTACACATAAATACAAGTATACATAGTGTAAATTACCTAGGATAACCCAAGAAATCCAGACAAAGTGCTATACTCTGCTTGAAGATGTGAGTAAACGTGATGACACAGTCTTGTGGCTCTCTCTGAGACAGAGAGCTAGATGGACAGACAGGGAGCTTGACAGACAGACAAATAGACAGACAGAAATGTTTGTGTACCAGCAAAAACAAAGGGAGGGCAATGGTCATGTAATATTACCCTCCTTTACCCTCATCAAAGTCAGCTCTTATCAGATGTTATCTCCCCTTATCTTGTCACTGTCATGGGGTGGACTTTTTTTTTTCTTGCTTCAAGGGAACAATATTATTACATCTTCTTCTTCCTCCTCCTCCTCCTCCTCTTCCTCTTCTCCTCCTCCTCCTCCTCCTCTTCCTTCCCTCCTCCTCCTCCTCCTCCTCCTCCTCTTCCTCCCCTCCTCCCCCTCCTCCTCCTCCATTGCTTTTGGTCTCAAACTCCTCCAAATCATGAAATTGATCTTCACTGACACTTCCATCTGTGTTAGAGCATCACTTGGGAAGAGAAGAGTCCCAGATTTGCTGGGGAATCACATATTTCTTACCGCTAGACATGCTGAAAAATGACAACTGAAATGGCATTCCCACAATGCACCACTGGCTCCCCGATTTTTTTTATATGGTGCACACTGACCATGGAGACCCATTCTCTCACATGTGGGCCTACCAGCTTTCTCCTGCTTGATTTGAAGCTGCTAGAATTTATGCGTATAAATACGTCAGAAACATTGGCTCGTAAGACGTATTTATACGTCGGAAACAGTCAAAGGGTTAATAACTTACCACCTATTCCATATACTTGTAACATCTGCCACATTGCTCCTCTATCCACTATCATATGCCTTTTCTAAATCCATAAATGCAAAAAAAAACTTCCCTAACTTTATCTAAATACTGTTCACATATATGCTTCAATGTAAACACTTGATCTACACATCCCCTACCCACTCTGAAACCTCCTTGCTCATCCGCAATCCTACATTCTGTCTTACCTCTAATTCTTTCAATTATAACCCTACGGTAAACTTTTCCTGGTATACTCAGTAAACTTATTCCTCTATAATTTTTACAATCTCTTTTGTCTCCTTTCCCTTTATATAAAGGGACTATACATGCTCTCTGCCAATCCCTAGGTACCTTCCCCTCTTTCATACATTTATTAAACAAAAGTACCAACCACTCCAACACTATATCCCCCCCTGCTTTTAACATTTCTGTCATGATCCCATCAGTCCCAGCTGCTTTACCCCCTTTCATTCTACGTAATGCTTCACGTACCTCCCAAACACTTACATTCTGCTCTTCTTCACTCCTAAAAGATGGTATACCTCCCTGACCAGTGCATGAAATTACAGCCTCTCTTTCTTCCTCAACATTTAAAAGTTCCTCAAAATATTCCCGCCATCTACCTAATACCTCCATCTCCCCATCTACTAACTCCCCTACTGTTTTTAACTGACAAATTCATACTTTCCCTAGGCTTTCTTAACTTGTTTAACTCACTCCAAAATTTTTTCTTATTTTCATTAAAATTTCCTGACAGTGCCTCTCCCACTCTATCATCTGCTCTTCTTTTGCACTCTCTCACCACTCTCTTCACCTTTCTTTTACTCTCCATATACTCTGCTCTTCTTATAACACTTCTGCTTTGTAAAAACCTCTCATAAGCTACCTTTTTCTCTTTTATCACACCCTTTACTTCATCATTCCACCAATCACTCCTCTTTCCTCCTGCACCCACCCTCCTATAACCACAAACTTCTGCCCCACATTCTAATACTGCATTTTTAAAACTATTCCAACCCTCTTCAACCCCCCCACTACTCATCTTTGCACTAGCCCACCTTTCTGCCAATAGTCGCTTATATCTCACCCGAACTTCCTCCTCCCTTAGTTTATACACTTTCACCTCCCTCTTACTTGTTATTGCCACCTTCCTCTTTTCCCATCTACCTCTTACTCTAACTGTAGCTACAACTGGAGCCTACCCATCAACCTTTTATCCACCAATACATAATCTAATAAACTACTTTCATTACGTGCTACATCATACCTTGTATATTTATTTATCCTCTTTTTCATAAAATATCTATTACTTATTACCAAATCTCTTTCTACACAAAGCTCAATTAAAGGCTCCTCATTCACATTTACCCCTGGCACCCCAAATTTACCTACTACTCCCTCCATAACATTTTTACCCACTTTATCATTGAAATCCCCAACCACCATTACTCTCACACTTGATTCAAAACTCCCCACTCATTCACTCAACATTTCCCAAAATCTCTCTCTCTCCTCTACACTTCTCTCTTCTCCAGGTGCATACACGCTTATTATAACCCACTTTTCACATCCAATCTTTATTTTACTCCACATAATCCTTGAATTAATACATTTATAGTCCCTCTTTTCCTGCCATAGCTTATCCTTCAACATTACTGCTACTCCTTCTTTAGCTCTAACTCTATTTGAAACCCCTGACCTAATCCCATTTATTCCTCTCCACTGAAACTCTCCCACCCCCTTCAGCTTTGTTTCACTTAAAGACAGGACATCCAGCTTCTTCTCATTCATAACATCCACAATCATCTCTTTCTTATCATTTGCACAACATCCACGCACATTCAGACTTCCCACTTTGACAATTTTCTTCTTATTCTTTTTAGTAATCTTTACAGGAAAAGGGGTTACTAGCCCATTGTTCCCGGCATTTTAGTTGACTTTTACAACACGCATGGCTTACGGAGGAAAGATTCTTATTCCACTTCCCCATGGATATAAAAGGAAAAGTAATAAGACCAAGAACTATTAAGATAAAATCAAAGAAAACTCAGATGAGTGTGTATAAATAAATGTGTACATGTATGTGTAGTGTGACCTAAGTGTAAGTAGAAGTAGCAAGACATACCTGTAATCTTGCACATTTATGAGACAGACAAAAGACACCAGCAATCCAACCATCATGTAAAACAATTACAGGCTTTCATTTTACACTCACTTGGCAGGACGGTAGTACCTCCCTGGGCGGTTGTTGTCTACCAACCTACTACCTTTCAGTAAACTTATTCCCCTACAATTTTTACAATCTCTTTTGTCCCCCTTCCCTTTATATAAAGGAACTATACACACTCTCTGCCAATCCCTAGGTACCTTCTCCTCTTTCATATACTTACTGAACAAAAGAATCAACCACTCCCCCTGCTTTTAACATTTCTGTCATGATTCCATCAGTTCCAGTTGCATTACTCCCTTTCATTCTACCCAAAAAAATTTATACCTCCTTAGCCAATCTGCATTAAATATTATCAATCATCATTTTTATTTCAATACTTACTTGACATAAAATTTTTGGCCCGGTGGCCTGGTGGCTAAAGCTCCCGCTTCACACACGGAGGGCCCGGGTTCGATTCCCGGCAGGTGGAAACATTTCGACACGTTTCCTTACACCTGTTGTCCTGTTCACCTAGCAGCAAATAGGTACCTGGGTGTTAGTCGACTGGTGTGGGTCGCATCCTGGGGGACAAGATTAAGGACCCCAATGGAAATAAGTTAGACAGTCCTCGATGACGCACTGACTTTCTTGGGTTATCCTGGGTGGCTAACCCTCCGGGGTTAAAAATCCGAACAAAATCTTATCTTATCTTATCTTATCTTTATTACCACTAGTAAGTCATTTGTATAAATTATAAATATTACTGAGGCAAGTACAGATCTTTGCAGCACTCCACCTGTGACATCTCCCATGGTATTTTCCCTCTTACAAGTGTTTGTCCTTTTCTCTCAAACAGAAAGTCTCTCATCCATTGTAACAATTTATCTTATATTTCTTTTAGGTTTTGAAGCTTCCAAATTAGTTTTTAGTGGAGAACTCTATTAAGGGTTTTCTTAAAATCTACATAAATACTGTACAACAATCTGTCCAGTTAATCTAGTGTGAATGAACACTGTAGTTAATCTAGTACAGTATAATTGTTTTCTGTGGTTTGGAAGGTCATTTGGATAGCATAGCTGTGCACCTCTGGCAAGACAACCATTGAATGAATGATAGTGAATATACTGTCTTCTTTGGGAATCACCCTACATTGGTGGAAGATGGTTGGTGTAATAAATAATGATTTGTATTAGGTGAAAATCTTTGTTAGGCAAGAATAATTAAGGGTTTCTTACATATAGTGGTTCAACCTTGTCCATTCTCTTCTTGTTCTTTAGATAGATGGCCACACAGATGAAGACAATCACTATCATCACTATAGAACCCACAATGGCACCGATGATAATAGGTAGCTTTGTCGGATCCTGCTTCTCTGTGAATTTAAGGTCATAATATTTAATTACCAAAAGAGGAGCATGGGTTTAATATTTGAGAAATTGACCAAAGCTAAGCAAGTGTTTCAATATATTTCAAATTTCATACTAACACTTATGAGAAACATGAGTAGGCAGGACATTCACGATATTATACTCTAAAGTCCCTCACTACATTACAGAGAATTTCTAGTAATGTATATAATAAATACAATACGTATACAATCAAAGATAACAAAAATAATATGATCATTATTATAAAAAATGAACATGATAAATATTTAACTATTAAACAGTCAACACTAATGCAATCACATCCAATTAGTACCTTCAACCACTGGGCCATTGATATTCTGTGGGGGAATCTTTAGCTCTTTTTTAGTTGGTCCCAGAATTACTAATCCACCAGAGTTGATTAAGTCATACAACTCCTCAACGACAGCTGCTGGAGTCTTGTTGGAGGTCTGAGTGTAGTCAGGCAAGACATCAAACTCCACCAAGATGCTTCCTAATAAAAAAAAAGACTCAAGAGTAAGCAGTAGTAATAATGATGAACATTTCTGAGGCACTGAAAATGTCATCGATGGAATACAGAACAAGAAATATAATACCTATGTATAAGGATGTGAGAAAACAAATATCGAATTATAAAAAAAAAAAAAAATTTAATCATATTCAAATCCCATGGGGTTTCAAATAGAGTTAGAGCAAAAGGAGTAGCAATAATTTAGAAGGATAAGTTATGGCAGGAAAAGAGGGGCTATAAATGTATTAATTCAAGGATTATGTGGAGTAAAATAAAGGTTGGATGTGAAAAGTGGGTTATAGTAAGCATATATGCACCTGGAGAAGAGAGAAGTGTAGAGTAGAGAGAGAGATTTTGGGAAATGTTGAGTGAATGCATGGGGAGTTTTGAACCAAGTGTGAGAGTAATGGTGGTTGGGGATTTCAATGCTAAAGTGGGCAAAAATGTTGTGGAGGGAGTAGTAGGTAAATCTGGGGTGCCAGGGGTAAATGAAAATTGGAAGCCTTTAATTGAGCTATGTGTAGAAAAAGATTTGGTAATAAGTAATAGATATTTTACGAAGAAGAGGATAAATAAATATACAAGGTATGATAAATCACGTAATGAAAGTAGTTTGTTAGATTATGTATTGGTGGATAAAAGGTTGATGGGTAGGCTCCAGGATGCACACGTTTATAGAAGGGCAACTGATATATCGGATCATTATTTACTTGTATAGGTAGTAGGTTGGTAGACAGCAACCGCCCAGGGAGGTACTACCGTCCTGCCAAGTGAGTGTAAAACGAAAGCCTGTAATTGTTTTACATGATGGTAGGATTGCTGGTGTCCTTTTTTCTGTCTCATGAACATGCAAGATTTCAGGTACGTCTTGCTACTTCTACTTACACTTAGGTCACACTACACATACATGTACAAGCACATATATACACACCCCTCTGGGTTTTCTTCTATTTTCTTTCTAGTTCTTATTCTTGTTTATTTCCTCTTATCTCCATGGGGAAGTGGAACAGAATTCTTCCTCCGTAAGCCATGCGTGTTGTAAGAGGCAACTAAAATGCCGGGAGCAAGGGGCTAGTAACCTCTTCTCCTGTATATATTACTAAATGTAAAAGGAGAAACTTTCGTTTTTCCTTTTGGGCCACCCCGCCTCGGTGGGATACGGCCGGTGTGTTGAAAGAAGAAAAGAAGATTATTTACTTGTAGCTACAGTTAGAGTAAGAGGTAGATGGGAAAAGAGGAAAATGGCAACAACAAGTAAGAGGGAGGTGAAAGTGTATAAACTAAGGGAGGAGGAAGTTCGGGTGAGATATAAGCAACTATTGGCAGAAAGGTGGGCTGGTGCAAGTATGAGTAGTGGGGAGGGTTGAAGAGGGTTGGAATAGTTTTAAAAATGCAGTATTAGAATGTGGGGCAGAAGTTTGTGGTTATAGGAGGGTGGGTGCAGGAGGAAAGAGGAGTGATTGGTGGAATGATGAAGTAAAGGTTGTGATAAAAGAGAAAAAGTTAGCTTATGAGAGGTTTTTACAAAGCAGAAGTGTTATAAGAAGAGTAGAGTATATGGAGAGTAAAAGAAAGGTGAAGAGAGTGGTGAGAGAGTGTAAAAGGAGAGCAGATGATAGAGTGGGAGAGGCACTGTCAAGAAATTTTAATGAAAATAAGAAAAATTTTTGGAGTGAGTTAAACAAGTTAAAAAAGCCTAGGGAACGAATGGATTTGTCAGTTAAAAACAGAGAAGAGGAGTTACTGGATGGGGAGATGGAAGTTTTGGGAAGATGGCAAGAATATTTTGAGGAACTTTTAAGTGTCAACGAAGAAAGGGAGGCATACCATCTTTTAGGAGTGAAGAACAGGATGTGAGTGTGGGGATGTGCATGAGGCATTACGTAAAATCAAAGGGGGAAAAGCAGCTGGAACTGACGGGATCATGACAGAAATGTTAAAGCAGGGGGGATATAGTGTTGGAGTGGTTGGTATTTTTGTTTAATAAATCTATGAAAGAGGGGAAGGTACCTAGGGATTGGCAGAGAGCATGTATAGTCCCTTTATATAAAGGAAAGGGGGGCAAAAGAGATTGTAAAAATTACAGAGGAATAAGTTTACTGAGTATACCAGGAAAAGTGTATGGTAGGGTAATAATTGATTGTAGGATTGTGGATGAGCAGGGAGGTTTTAGAGTGGGTAGGGGATGTGTAGATCAAGTGTTTACACTGAAGCATATATGTGAACAGTATTTAGATAAAGGTAGGGAAATTTTTATTTCATTTATGGATTTAGAAAAGGCATATGATAGAGTGGATAGGGAAGCAATGTGGCAGATGTTGCAAGTATATGGAATAGGTGATAAGTTACTAAATGCTGTAAAGAGTTTTTATGAGAATATTGAGGCTCAGGTTAGGGGGTGTAGAAGAGAGGAAGACTACTTCCCGGTAAAAGTAGGTCTTAGACAGGGATGTGTAATGTCACCATGGTTGTTTAATATATTTATACATGGGGTTGTAAAAGATGTAAATGCTAGGGTGTTTGGGAGAGGGGTGGGATTAAATTATGGGGAATCAAATGCAAAATGGGAATTGACACAGTTGCTTTTTGCTGATGATACTGTGCTTATGGGAGATTCTAAAGAAAAATTGCAAAGGTTAGTGGACGAGTTTGGGAGTGTGTGTAAAGGTAAAAAGTTGAAAGTTAACATAAAGTGTAAGGTGACGAGAGTATCAAATGATTTAGATAAAGAAAAATTGGATATCAAATTGGGGAGGAGTATGGAAGAAGTGAATGTTTTCAGATACTTGGGAGTTGACGTGTTGGCGGATGGATTTATGAAGGATGAGGTTAATCATAGAATTAATGAGGAAAAAAAGTGAGTGGTGTATTGAGGTATATGTGGAGACAAAAAACATTATCTATGGAGGCAAAGAAGGGAATGTATGAAAGTATAGTGGCACCAACACTCTTATATGGGTGTGAAGCTTGGGTTGTGAATGTAGCAGCGAGGAGGTGGCTGGAGACAGTGGAGATGTCCTGTCTAAGGGCAATGTGTGGTGTAAATATTATGCAGAAAATTCGGAGTGTGGAAATTAGGAGAAGGTGTGGAGTTAATAAAAGTATTAGTCAGAGGGCTGAAGAGGGGTTGTTGAGGTGGTTTGGTCATTTAGATAGAATGGATCAAAGTAGAATGACATGGAGAGCATTTAAATCTGTAGGGGAAGGAAGGCAGGGTAGGGGTCATCCTCGAAAAGGTTGAAAGGAAGGGGTAAGGGAGGTTTTGTGGGCAAGCAGCTTGAACTTCCAGCAGGCGTGCATGAGCGTGTTCGATAGGAGTGAATGGAGACGAATGGTATTTGGGACCTGACGATCTGTTGGAGTGTGAGCAGGGTAACGTTTAGTGAAGGGATTCAGGGAATGTATGAGAGTATAGTTTTACGAATGCTCTTATATGGGTGTGAAGCATGGGTGATGAATGTTGCAGCGAGGAGAAGGCTGGAGGCAGTGGAGATGTCATGTCTGAGGGCAATGTGTGGTGTGAATATTATGAAGAGAATTCGTAGTTTGGAAGTTAGGAGGAGGTGCGGGATTACCAAAACTGTTGTCCAGAGGGCTGAGGAAGGGTTGTTGAGGTGGTTCGGACATGTAGAGAGAATGGAGCGAAACAGAGTGTATCAGTCTGTAGTGGAAGGAAGGCGGGGTAGGGGTCGGCCTAGGAAAGGTTGGAGGGAGGGGATAAAGGAGGTTTTGTGTGCGAGGGGTTTGGACTTCCAGCAGGCATGCGTGAGCGTGTTTGATAGGAGTGAATGGAGACAAATGGTTTTTAATACTTGATGTGCTGTTGGAGTGTGAGCAAAGTAACATTTATGAAGGGGTTCAGGGAAACCGGCAGGCCGGACTTGAGTCCTGGAGATGGGAAGTACAGTGCCTGCACTCTGAAGGAGGGGTGTTAATGTTGCAGTTTAAAAACTATAGTGTAAAGCACCCTTCTGGCAAGACAGTGATGGAGTGAATGATGGTGAAAGTTTTTCTTTTTCGGGCCACCCTGCCTTGGTGGGAATCAGCCAGTGTGATGATAATAAAAAAAAAAAATTAGGGAAACCGGTTATTTTTATATAGCCAGACTTGAGTCCTGGAAATGGGAAGTACAATGCCTGCACTCTAAAGGAGGGGTTCGGGATATTGGCAGTTTGGAGGGATATGTTGTGTATCTTTATATGTATATGCTTCTAAACTGTTGTGTTCTGAGCACCTCTGCAAAAACAGTGATTATATGTGAGTGAGGTGAAAGTATTGAATGATGATGAAAGTACATATTTTCTTTTTGGGATTTTGTTTCTTTTTGGGTCACCCTGCCTCAGTGGGAGACGGCCGACTTGTCAAAAAAAAAAAAAATTACATACATTTCTTCGTATTTGGGTCATTCTGCCTCTGTGGGAGATGGCCACTGAATTAAAAAAATAAGATGGCATAAGTGCCAATTACAAAAAAAAAAAAAAAAGTTAAAAAAGACAATAAAAACTTCTTCAAAAAAGAATGACAGCAGTAAGGGCCTCCAAAAGGAGACAGTATATGTACTGTAGTATTGTGCAGCAAAGTCACCGGAGCTATTAAATAATATAAATACGTATAAAAGTCACTTACCATTCCTTACTGTCATGTTGTAAATTCTGGATTCCGATATCTTAAGCTGTGTTGCTATTTGCTTTGTCATTAACTTTATAAAATCTTCATGATCATCTCCAACAACTTCGTTGAAGTCTTCATTAATGCTAACAAGAAAGAGTTAATTACACTAATTATACTATAATAATAATAATAATAATAATAATAATAATAATATCATAATTTATTGTCACAAAATATGTAATAGTAATATAAATTTGCAATAAGCCCATTGTATACATAACATTTTGAGTAGATTTAAACTACACAAGTGAGTTTAGTGCAAGGTATTGAAAGGTATGATTGGAAAACAATGTACATATATATAATTTCTGGATACATCTCAGAAGATATGTGACCACCATGACATTACATAATTAATGTTGCTTAATTATGTATAATTATGGATTGGCAGAATGAAATTCATGAAACCGTGGAATAAAAAGTAATAGTAATAACAATGATGTGATATAGGTTTAAGATAGACAATATATTAAAAATTTTGAGCAGGATTACAGAAAGACAAATGATACATGGTGCAGTTAATAAGAAAGCAGTAAAATGTCATCCCAGATAGTAATTCAAGAATTTTTTTGTTACAGAAATTTGAATTATGATAGAATTACGTACTGTAATTCCTCAGTATCTTAAAGTTTTACACTGGCAAGGTTTCCTATCCATGTCTTCTGTTTTATATCCTTTTATCCATTATCTGTAAGTAGGACTGGTGGAGGCACAACTCTTGTCCATTATTGTGGTGTTATTTGCAAGGCTGGCACCTAGATCTGTAACATGCATAGGGCATAATGCCATGATCTATGAGTTGGATTCTCAAAACATGTAGAATATGATATAGTGTGCTTGACTGCTGATCTGTAACTTGCATACAGTATTGCATCACCTCAAATATTATGTGATAGGATAATATTGTTTAGGCCTTGGTGGGATACGGCTGGTTTGCTGAAAGAAGAAAGAATACTGTTTGGGTACTAGGGTGATGGAGTCAGGAATGCGTCCCTCACAGATACTAAGGAAATGCACTACAGTACCACAGTCCTCTACTGACCTGTCTCTAAATAAGATTTTGAAGGTAAATAATTTGTGTACTACCTTTTAACTGACTGTTTATAAACAGTCACTAAGTCAAAGCAAATTTCTTGATCTGCATTATTTAGGTTAAGTTAGGTTTGGTTAAATTAGAGTTTTGTCTATCAAAAAATTAACCAATTATAACACCATAATGCTAATTAGGAGAAGGTGTGGAGTTAATAAAAGTATTAGTCAGAGAGCTGAAGAGGGGTTGTTGAGGTGGTTTGGTCATTTAGAGAGAATGGATCAAAGTAGAATGACATGGAGAGCGTATAAATCTGTAGGGGAAGGAAGGCGGGGTAGGGGTCGTCCTCGAAAAGGTTGGAGGGAGGGGGTAAAGGAGGTGTTGTGGACGAGGGGTTTGGACTTCCAGCAAGCATGTGTGAGTGTGTTAGATAAGAGTGAATGGAGACAAATGGTATTTGGGACCTGACGAGCTGTTGGAGTGTGAGCAGGGTAATATCTAGTGGAGGGATTCAGGGAAACCGGTTATTTTATATAACCGGACTTGAGTCCTGGAAATGGGAAGTACAATGCATGCACTCTAAAGGAGGGGTTTGGGATATCAGTTTGGAGGGATATATTGAGTATTTTTATACGTATTTACTTCTAAACTGTTTTATTCTGGGCGCCTCTGTAAAAACAGTGATTATGTGTGAGTGAGGTGAAAGTGTTGAATGATGATGAAAGTATTTTCTTTTTGAGGATTTTCTTTCTTTTTGGGCCACCCTGCCTCGGTGAGAGACGGCCGACTTGCTGAGAAAAAAAAATGCTAATTAATAAAATGTAAGATAAATGTGATAAAAAAGTTTTGAAGTATGAACAGAAAATGGGGACCCACCAAACACACTAGATAATAGTCAGATAAGCAGCCTTAAATTTAAGGCTTGGGGACAGTCACCTGTTTGACTCTCCCCAAGCCAAACACTGAATGTTATTAAGAAGATAAGCTGTTTAATTTTGTAAATGTCAGATATTTAAGCAGATTACAGAAGCTGGACAAGCACTTACTAATAGTCCAATAAATAAATGAAAAAATAATCCCATTACATTAAACAATTGCCAGAAACTCACATAATTTTGGCATGTTCCGGACTTTCAAAGACGATTGGCAGTGCCGAAGTGGATGAGGTGGTCTCTATGACTGTAGAAGTACTAGTAGATGGCAAATTTGAAATCTCAGATGCAAATCCTCTGGAAGGTGATGGTGAGAAATATTAATCTATCACAACATTGGAGATGAAAACCAAAAAATTTTCAGATACTACAGGTATCTTCTTTGAAGAAGTAAATATTACCACAAGTTAATAAAAATAGTATTGTAGTTTACTTTTATTACATACTCATTTAAATCACCTGTGTTTGTGAAAACTGAGCTCAAGCTCTTGAACCCCACTTCTTGATCATTAATCAAATTTTGTGTTGCCCCTCAACACAACAGGTTCTGTCATTCAGTATTTATTGATTTTTACCTCTACTATTTCCTTCCCTAGTTCTCAACAAAGCCATGCTGGAGATGTTTTTTACATATCTATGAATCCCTCAGCTGTTTAGTTTCCATTTTTGTTCTCTCATACTAATAAACAGTCTGCCTTTATTCACCTTTCAGGTACCAATATTTTCTGACAATTTCTCCTCCAAGTATTATTTCCCAAGTATTTTAAGTTTTAGTTAGCTCCAGAGAACCCCCTCAAAAAAAGGAAACTGGGGATACAAACTGCAGTTTTAGGCTCATTTAGTTTAACAGTTTCATTATGAACCCCCTACATAGGCACATAATGGGCCCAGGAAATAAACCCAAATGCAATAGTAGCTAAGCAAGTTATAGTGGTAAGAACCATTTACAAGTTTATGATCTTGCTACAATAATAGCACGTTGCTAATATACCCATGAGTTTCTCAAATGCACAATCAAGCCAATAACATTACCCCACCATCATCAAATGCAGTGAAACCTGATGACAAGGACTTGACATGGACAGTTTAAACTATGGTAAGTTGAACTGGACATATCTGCCAAGTGGCAAGGTTGGCCAGTAGATGGCATAGTACTTCCCATCTGAAAACCATTTTAATTTAGATTCCACAAAGATCCTGTAGCTGTAAATGAATAATTACACTGAATCACTGTTAATGACAAAAATGCCAAGGCTATTTTTACCCTGGTATACTGGAACCAAGGTGCTACACTTACCTGAATTTAAAATATCCAGCAAACACAAACAGCTAGCAGTTTTTGACTAATACCTCAAAAAATCCCACTGATATCACAGAAATTTAATGGCAGTGACTGATCTGATGTGAACTACTGAGTGACAGATTATATCATAGAATCTTCAATGCAGTATAATGTAATTACAGCCAAAACCATTGTCATGGATATATTTCCACACTAAATATATATACATGGCCTTCTATTACCTGGAGTTTACCTGGAGAGAGTTCCAGGGGTCAACGCCCCCACGACCCGGTCTGTGACCAGGCCTCCTGGTGGATCAGAGCCTGATCAACTAGGCTGTTACTGCTGGCTGCATGCAAACCAATGTACGAGCCACAGCCTGGCTGATCAGGAACTGACTTTAGGTGCTTGTCCAGTGCCAGCTTGAAGACTGCCAGGGGTCTGTTGGTAATCCCCCTTATGTATGCTGGGAGGCAATTGAACAGTCTCGGGCCCCTGACACTTATTGTATGGTCTCTTAACGTGCTAGTGACACCCCTGCTTTTCATTGGGGGGATGTTTCATCGTCTGCCAAGTCTTTTGCTTTCGTAGTGAGTGATTTTCGTGTGCAAGTTCAGTACTAGTCCCTCTAGGATTTTCCAGGTATATATAATCATGTATCTCTCCCGCCTGCGTTCCAGGGAATACAGGTTCAGGAACCTCAAGCGCTCCCAGTAATTGAGGTGTTTTATCTCCGTTATGCGCGCCGTGAAGGTTCTCTGTACATTTTCTAGGTCAGCAATTTCACCTGCCTTGAAAGGTGCTGTTAGTGTGCAGCAATATTCCAGCCTAGATAGAACAAGTGACCTGAAGAGTGTCATCATGGGCTTGGCATCCCTCGTTTTGAAGGTTCTCATTATCCATCCTGTCATTTTTCTAGCAGATGCGATCGATACAATGTTATGGTCCTTGAAGGTGAGATCCTCCGACATGATCACTCCCAGGTCTTTGACGTTGGTGTTTCGCTCTATTTTGTGGCCAGAATTTGTTTTGTACTCTGATGAAGATTTAATTTCCTCGTGTTTACCATATCTGAGTAATTTAAATTTCTCATCGTTGAACTTCATATTGTTTTCTGCAGCCCACTGAAAGATTTGGTTGATGTCCGCCTGGAGCCTTGCAGTGTCTGCAATGGAAGACACTGTCATGCAGATTCGGGTGTCATCTGCAAAGGAAGACACGGTGCTGTGGCTGAAATCCTTGTCTATGTCAGATATGAGGATGAGGAACAAGATGGGAGCGAGTACTGTGCCTTGTGGAACAGAGCTTTTCACCGTGCCTGCCTCGGACTTTACTCTGTTGACTACTACTCTCTGAGTCAAATTCTATAACTTTAATGTATTAATGTGTATAGTAAATATAAGATGTGACATTACACCAGTTTCAGTTCCTCACATTGATATATAAAGTAGATACCACTAGATGAGCTGTCAGGGTTAAAATGTTAGCACAATGGTAGATATTTTCAGTTTTTGTCCCAGCTTTCTATCCTGTAATTATGTCCTAAAAGTTTTTCGATGTGTATAACCTGGTCCTTCTGCACATTCCTTCACAGCCCTGGATGATGTCTCATCTGGTGATACTGCTTTCAGTGCTAACCCTTTCTGAGTCGAGACCCCTGATCTCAAATTTGCTCTCAGGGTCAAAGAATTAAAAAAAAAAAATATCTTATGCAATGACAGAGAATCTTTTTATGATGGGAATGAAACCAAAAGTATGAAATTTGATGGAAAACTTATGGAATTATACTCTTGTAAAGTTTGTGGTCTCAAAGATATTTACACACTGGTGATTTTGCCAATTTTGCACCCTATTCCGTTGTTCCAGATGACCAAACTCATAGCTATTTCACTAGTATTCCTTCTATTCTATCAACAGAATACAAGAAACCACCCATTTACCTATTTCAACTACCCAATAAAGTTATCAGAAATTGGTAATTTGGCAAATTTCACACAAAATTCAAATTTTTACAATTTAAAAACAGAGTCCAGAATAAGCAATGTAGACATTCTTGGCACTATAGAAACATTTCCTCTGTTCCTTAGCCACATCTCCAGGCCCCTCTTATATTACACTTGCTTTCCATTTTGAATTTTTATTCACACAATAAATAAATAATGTCAGTGCATTCCTAAATGCATATTAGACTGGCAAACTGGACGCATATTGGACAAGTGACATCATTTGTGTACTCTGGAATAAGAGCAAAAATCAAACATTTCCTGTACTTTGAGCTCAATTTCAAGCTACTTTCAGTCTTGAAACCAATCAAAATCATCTCTATTTCTGTAAAATACCTTTCAATCTATCAAATAAGACCAAGACACAGAGAATACAACCATAAAAACCATACAAAAATAAACTGCAAATTCAATGTTTTAAACTAAAGTCGCAGTTTTTTCCTCATTGGGCATTGCATGCTACAGGATTTTTTTATATGATACACACTCAACACAGACCCATTCTCTCATATCTAGGCCCAAATTTACCACTCACAGCTTATCTGAGTGAGCTGAGCTCATGGCATTGTACTATGGGACCAACACTGTTTGTGTAACATACACTTTCAGTGTATGTTACACAAACACTGAAAGTGTTAATATCCAATTATAACCATTTACTTTTTATTTAGTTATTTCAATGAGCTCTAACCCATTTCAGTGTGGGGGTTTTCAGGCTTACTTTTTCAGCAAATACACTCTGATACTTCATATCTCACTTTTACTTTTAGACCTACAATTTTGGGATTTACTTCAACTCATAAAAATATATTTATTACATAATAAAAATATCTAAATGTTCTAAATAAGTGAAATGTAAGAAGGAAGTAGGAATAAACATGAAAAATTACAAGGACACAAGTAAAGAAAAAACTGATAACGTATTTTTCCATTTTAAAAAGAGCAAACACTTACGCCACATAAACTGGACTCTTGCACATACAACGGAGTCTCTTAACACCTCCCCGCATAACAAATTTTCCAGTGTTGCAGAGACTACCATCCCACTCATTCTCATCCCAGCCATAGCACTGTAAAAACAAAAAGAAAAATATAAATTTATGCACCAAAAAATCAAATTATTGCACAAATGAATTTGATTACTGAAAAATTTCAAAGCATAAAACACTATACAGTAAGACCCCCATATCTGTGGCAGACGTGTTCCAAGTACCTGCCATGGATACCAAAACTGCGGATAGTAGCGAACCCTATATATAAGTTGTTTTTTGCTTACATACATACATATTATAAAGTTTAATTGATAAATTACACACAATAAGTGGAGAAGTATTACTTAATGGCTTCCAATAGGCTTCAAAAAACTTCTTACATCACTACTTTTGCACTTTGAAGCCATTATTAAGCAAAACTGAGGGTTATTTTCGGTTCACGGCAAACCGTGGATAACAAAACCCACAGGTACTGTACCAGCAGATATAGGATTCTACTGTTTGAGAAAAAGAGATATTAAAAGGGTGGTCAGGAAGTGAAAAGAGAAATTCAATGAGAGAATGGGCATATTTATCAGCAAATTTTGTTGACAACAAGGACAACTTTGAAAGCAGTAGGTTAGTAGACAGCAGGTGCCCAGGGAGGTACTACCGTCCTGCCAACTGAGTGTAAAACGGAAACCTGTAGTTGTTTTACATGTTGGTAGGATTGCTGGTGTCTTTTTTGCAAGATTTCAGGAATATCTTGCTACTTCTACTTATACTTAGGCCACTCTCTCCAGGTAAACTCCAGGTAACACTACACATACATGTACAAGCATATATATACATATCCCTCTGGGTTTTCTTCTATTTTCTTTCTAGTTATTGTTCTTGTTTATTTCCTCTTATCTCCATGGGGAAGTGGAACAGAATTCTTCCTCCGTAAGCCATGCATGTCATAAGAGGTGACTAAAATGCCGGGAGCAAGGGGCTAGTAACCCCTTCTCCTGTATAAATTACTAAATTTAAAAAAAAAAAACTTTCATTTTTCTTTTTGGGCCACCCTGCCTTGGTGGGATACGGCTGGTGTGTTGAAAGAAGAAAGAAGAACAACTTTGGAAAAAGATCAATAAAGTAAGGAGGCCTGGACAACACAAACTTTGCATTCAAAAGTGAAAGAGATGTTAGATGGGAAGGTAGAATTACTGGAAAGGAGAGGATATTTTGACCAGTTTTTTTAATGTTGGTGATGAAACAGAAACAGTGATTTCATGCACTGGGCAGGGAGTAAAAACATCATATAAGAGTGAGGTGGAGCCTGAGGTGGATGTGGGGGAAAGTGTGTGAGGCAGTAGGCAGAATGAAAGAGGGTGAAAGAGATGAGGCAGGTGGGATTGAGACAGATGTTAAAAGCACCAGCATTTTCAGGCAGTAAGTTCCAAATTTTTGGGTTTTTTATCAGCATGGAGTTTGTTAACAGGTTGAGTCACACATGAGATATGTCAAGAAGATTCTTGTTTCTTGTATTGTGTCCATGTGTTATGTTGCAGTTCTTCAGATAGAATTTAAGGTATGGGTTAATGAATAACTAATAAGTGTAATGAACACTTGTCAATGCTCAATAATAACCCACATAGAGAAAAAAAAAGTCAGAAAATTAATTAGTCTATGGGTTAATGTTCTTACTAAGTATCCTGCAGACACAGTATTATAGATAGATAGATAGATGGATAGATAGATAGTTTATTAAGACATGATACATAGTTGTACAAGGAATTATAGTAGTTGGATGTACATGCCAAAAGCCCCTTGTATGTAGAGCATTATGGGCAGGCTTAAAATTAACTTAACCCTTCGACTGTTTCGGTCGTATATATACGTCTTACGAGCCAATGTGTTTGACGTATATATACTCAAAAATTCTAGCGGCTTCAAATCAAGCGGGAGAAAGCTGGTAGGCCCACATGTGAGAGAATGCATCTGTGTGGTCAGTGTGCACAGTATAAAAAAAATTCTGCAGCACGCAGTGCATAATGAGAAAAAAAAAAACTGACCGTGTTTTTGGATTAACATGCCGACTTTGAGGTGTATTTTCATATAGTATTTATGGTTGTATTTTCGTTTTCTTGGCCTCATTTGATAGAATGGAAACACAGAAATAGAGGTGATTTTGAGTAGTTTTACTGTGAAAAGAACCTTGAAATAGAGCTCAAATTAGCTGAAATGTTCAATTTTTGCCCCGTGTTTGAGAGTAAACAATAAATGTCCAACTAACCATTCTAATACGCAGTCACGAATGGGTTGACATTATTTATACAATTATTACAATGTTCCAGTAGTCTAAACAACAGTAAATCTTCTATGTTTTGTGTGAATAAAAATTCAAAATAGAAAGCAAGAGTAATATAAGAGGGGCCTGGAGACGTGACTAATGAACAGAGAAAATGTTATTTTAGTGTTAGGAATGTCTGCATTGTTCATTCTGGACCCCATTTTGAAATTGGCATATTTTTCAATTTGCGTGAAAATGGCCAAATTGCCAATTATTAACCATTTTATTTGGTAGTTGAAATTGGTAAATGGGCAGTTTCTTTTACTCAATCGATAGAACAAATGGAGTTCTAAAGAAATAGCTATGAGTTTGGTCGACTGGAACAATGGAATTGGCCAAAAATAGGGCTCAAAGTGGGCAAAATCACTGATGTGTAAATATCGACGAGGTCGCTAACTTCGCAAGAGTATAATTCCGTATGTTTTCAATCAAATTTTGTACTTTTGGTGTCAATACCATCAGGAAAAGATTCTCCATCATTTCATAAGAAAAAATAATTTTTTTTTTCCAAATATTTTTCGACACCAGGAGACACTTCAGGATTTGGGGTTGCGACAGTCAAAGGGTTAAGATTAACTAAGCTATAATAGATTTATTTTTTTTTTTATTTTTTTTATTATCAAACTGGCCGATTCCCACCAAGGCAGGGTGGCCCAAAAAAGAAAAACTTTCACCATCATTCACTCCATCACTGTCTTGCCAGAAGGGTGCTTTACACTACAGTTTTTAAACTGCAGGCACTGTACTTCCCATCTCCAGGACTCAAGTCCGGCCTGCCGGTTTCCCTGAATCCCTTCATAAATGCTACTTTGCTCACACTCCAACAGCACGTCAAGTATTAAAAACCATTTGTCTCCATTCACTCCTATCAAACACGCTCATGCATGCCTGCTGGAAGTCCAAGCCCCTCGCACACAAAACCTCCTTTACCCCCTCCCTCCAACCTTTCCTAGGCCGACCCCTACCCCGCCTTCCTTCCACTACAGACTGATACACTCTTGAAGTCATTCTGTTTCGCTCCATTCTCTCTACATGTCCGAACCACCTCAACAACCCTTCCTCAGCCCTCTGGACAACAGTTTTGGTAATCCTGCACCTCCTCCTAACTTCCAAACTAAATAATATAATATCTTTATTTACTACAAGTACATGTACATGACATACTACTATACAAAAGCTGCTTGTTATGCAGAGCACTTTGGGCAAATTAGGTTCTTGTCCCAGGATGTGACTCACACCAGTCTACTAACTTCTAGGTACCCATTTTACTGATGGGTGAACATAGACAACAGGTGTAAAGAAACATGCCCAGTGTTTCTACCCGTGCTGGGAACTGAACGCAGACCCTCGCCATGTGAAGTGAGAGCTTTAGCAACCAGGGCACGGGTAAAAATTACAGTAAACAATTTACAATATGAAGTACAACTGAATATTTTAAACAATGAAATCTGAACATTTCAATTTTGAAGCATTATAGTTGCACAAATTTGTAGCATTACAATGTATAACAAAATGATCAATTTACTATATGCAGTCGTACAATTTATTAATCAGGTCAAATCAAGTAAAATCAATGATTTGTAGTGCAGAAACAGTTCATATGGTCATTAGACGAGTTACTGTGCGTTCAAGAGAATGGATTATTCTTTTAGGTAATGCACTTAGAAACATTTTCATAGGGTCACAGGTTATAAATTTATGAAATACAGTGGGCCCCCAAGTTTCGGCGGCCTCGACTTTCGTGAAATTCGACCTTCGGTGAGTTTTTTTTGGAAAAATTTGGCCTCGAGTTTCGTGAAAAAACTCATGTTTTGGCGACCGTCCGGTACCCGTCCGCCCATCACCGCACACACAAAGCCAGTCTCCCACGCCATTCACGCTCAGTGTGCCATTGTTTACCAACACGTGACCATCACCCCGCGGGTTCATACAATACATTTCATAATAATCCATTGTTTTTTGTGCTTGCAACTGCTAAATAAGTCATCATGGACCCAAGGAAAGCTAGTGCAAGCCCTTTGGTAAATAAAGTGAGTGACGGGGATGTGGAAGAGTTGGTGGAGGACCACAGGGAAGAGCTAACCACTGACGAACTGCAAGAGCTTCAACTGGAACAGCATCAGACCACAGCCGAGGAACTTGCTTCAGAGGAGGAGGAAGAGGGAGTGGATGAGGTGCCTTCTTCAGTGATTAAGGACATGTGTGGAATGTGGAATGAGTTGCAAAGTTTTGTTGAAAAGTATCACCCTGACCAAGCTGAAACAAGTCGTATCTGCAACATGTACAATGACAGTGTTGTGTCCCACTTCAGGGAAATCTTAAAGAAATGCCAGAAAAAGACCTCTCTAGATAGATATTTTGTGCGCCAGGGGTCCAGTGACTCTCAAGTTGTTCCCAGTGGCATTAAAAGAAGAAGGGAAGTAACCCCAGATAAGGACTTCCTACCTAAAGTCCTAATGAAAGGAGATTCTCCTTCCAAACAATAGTGTACACCTTCCTCCTGTCACCTCCTCCCATCTTCCATCCACCCAGAAGTCTTCAGTAAAGGTAAGTGTGATGTTATTATTATTTATTTTAAATGCATGTACTTGATTTCTGATTGTTTTCATTATGTAAATCTTTTATTTAATTTGAAAAAAAAATATTTTTTTAATATTTTTGGGTGTCTGGAACGGATTAATTTTATTTCCATTATTTCTTATGGGGAAAATGGTTTCGAGTTTCGTGAATTTCGACCTTCGGTGGGCTCTCTGGAATGAATTAA